AAAATGTAACACAGAAACTGTCATTTTCTTCTACAATTAAAGTAAGTGCTTCTGAAAGTTGCAGGATAAGAATGACCCAAATTACCCTCCCCCACATTTCCTCATCTAGAAGAGGGGGGAATGGAGTTTGAAGAGAACATCTGTGGACAAAATGGAAGACAAATAGTCTTTTCAGGCAAACGTCTGAAAAAGGGATCTTTTATAGCCAAACAGAATACTATTGCTTGCATTGCCATGGTTAAGAAGAGGATCAACAATACTTTCATAATGGCCTTTTATTTTAGCATTCTATTTCTGTGGATAGAATTATGATTTCAACACATCCATTCATAATTCATATAATTATTTGCATAAATATCTTTTGACACAGATTTAACGTACTTTTGCCAGTCACATCTTGAATTCAAATTTTATCTGTTGAGTGCACTAAGACAATGTCAGTGCAAGTAATGCTAAAGGAGATTGGATAAAAAGGAATATTTTCTTATGTACAAAATAAACAGCCTACTAAACAACAGAACTTTCAGTAATATGTTTTACATGGATTAGTAGAGAAAAGACACCTGGCTCATTTATTTCCTGATGAAAGACTTCTGGTTAAAACAACTAATTAAGACTACATCCTATGCCCTTTACTGATAGTTTGCTCAATTTTCGTTCATGCAGCCAGTCTTTAGGGAGCACCTCCTCTGTGCTAGGCCATGTTCTAGGCAGAAGATAAAACAGTGCATAAAATAGACGGAATTCCTCTTCTTACGTGCAGTTTATATTTGGAGGGAAGGCTGGGTAATAAACAAGAAATATAAGTACTTTCAATAATACTAAGTGCTAAGGAGAGAAATAAAGCAGGGAAGGAAAACAGGAAGTGTTGAGGGCAGTAAGGATAACAATTTTAGATAGGCAAGCCTGGGAAGAACTAACAAAAAAGAAGCATTTGAGTAATGATCTGAAGAAGGTAAGGCAGTAAGCCACAATAATATCTGGGCAAAGACCATTTCAGACAGAGGAAACAGCAAGGGTTTACTTAGGCCCTAAGATGAGACTCTATTTGGCATGATCTAAGAACAGCAAGTATGACTGGAGCAAAGTTAGGGTAGGGGCAGGAGGCAAAGATAACAGAGGCCAGGTAATACAGGGCCTTCAAGGTTATTGGAAGGATTTGGACATTTATTCAGAGTGAGGTGAGGAGCCGTTGGAGAGTTTCATGTAGAGGAATGACGTGATTCAAATCATATTTGAATGGCTCCTTGTGCTCAACATAGAGGAGGTAAAAGCAGAGGCAGGGAGAACCATGAGGAGATATTTCAGTGATCCAGGTGAAGGGTGATGGTGGCTTAGACCAGGGAGCTAGTAGTAGAAGTAGCAAGAAAAAGACATATTGTAAAAAAAAACAATGTTTGAAGGTGGAACTAATATAGCCTTCTGGTGGATTGGCGGTGGGATCTAAGAGAAAGAAAAGAATCAAGATTGTGAGTCATTGTGGAGGGAAATGGGATTGCCATTTACTAAGGTATAGAAGACTAGGAGAGGAGCAGATTTGGTTGATAGGTAGTGGATATCATCAGCTCAGTTTTGTACACATTAAATCTGTTGAGTTAGCCTACAGCTCACCCAAGAAGTCCCGGCTGATGATAGGAGTTCTTAACTTGCTAAAGATCAGAATTTATAGACATTCTTAGAGAGAATGTTCAAAGAACTTTCACCCAGATGCTCACTACAATGAGCAGAAAGTGCTAATGAAGATATTAGAAAGATTTTATTGAGTTATGATTTAGGAAATAAGGTAAAAATATGTTTTTTAAGGGAATCGACCTTCACAAATGCTTACAAAAGATATCTGTTTTTTGTTGGTGAATAAGCATTGTGAGTTTATGCTTTAGTCAGGGTCAAAAACGAAATCTAGTCTCCAAGGACCAGAAAAAAGAACAAAATTGCTCAGTGGTAAATGGGAACTAAAACCACATACCTGGTAGGCTCTGAGTCCAGAAGGAGGTAGAGATGAGTGGGAGTCTGATGTGTATCAGAACAGATGGACCACTATGTCGGAAAACTGCAGATTGACTCACTGGGTTAAACCAACTGGGAAGGCAAGCAGAGCTTCCTTACCCTTGAGGAAGGAGGTTGAATAAAGATACAACCACTGACCAGAGCTATGACTTCTATAAAGGTGATTCTTTCCTTACTAAATGCAAAGTATGGGGAATCCACAAAAGCCCTTAAAGTAAATTTTGAAATAATAACAGAATGATTAAAAACAGTGGATATTCAGAAGAACCAATACCAGCTAGACATCCTGGATATGTAAAATATAGCCAGTGAAGTAAACACTCTATAGATAGGATCAACTTTATACTGGATACAATCAGAGAGAATATTGAGAAATTGGAAGAGAGCAGAACGAATTCACCTAAAAAACATTGCAGAAATATGGAAGGATAAAAAATATGAAAGATACGTGGATGATAAATTGAGAGGTGCCAGTGTATGTCTAGGGAAAAAAGAGACAGACTAGTAAACAAAACATTTGAAGAGATAATACCTGAGAGTTTTCAGAATTAACGAAATAATGCCTTCAAGTACAACACAATGAATGCTAAGTAGGATTAATTAAAATAAATTATAACTAGACATCATAGTGCAATTGCAGAATATCAGGGATAAAGAGAAAAATAATTTAAAAACCATAGACTAAAGACAAATTAAAACAAATGAGAGAGTAGCTACAGATGTCTTCAGAGCAACAATGGATGCCAAAAGAAAATAAAGTAACATGTTCAAATTGCTAAGTTATTTTCAACTCAAAATTCTATACCCAGCTAAGCTATTGAAGAGTGAAGGATTTTTTTATTTTCACTCCAAAACATAAAGATCTAGAAGAGTTTGCTGTTCACAGACTGCTGTGAAAGAACTTCTAAAGGATATACTCACTTGAGCATGGACCTGGAACAAGGGTGATCTGAAGCTAATAAGAAAAGTACAGAAATAAAATATATTATAAATTTTCACTTTCATAAGGAAAACATTCATTATCATGGAAGCAAAGATTCCAGGCCTCTTTTTTTTTTTTTCAGTTAGTCATAGCACCTTGTATGATCTGCTGTTATCCATTATAGTCATGTGTCTCTTCTTAATGTTTTGCTCTTATTAAATTTTTCATGATATCATTAGAAACTGAAAAAAAATTATACCAATTAAGTATATGTCACTCAGAATGAATAATTCCATCAGTTTTACTGGAAAAGACTACACAGGATTATAAATTTGCACCTTGGGATACTTAATCACACTTGCTGATGACATGAGGAAATTTTCACTGTCAGGAGCTTATGTATATGAATGATGAACAATTTCTAATATAATTTGTAAGGAGTCTTTTGAATATGAGGCTATTTCAGGAGTCTCCAAGATCACCCACATGTCCAGTGATTTGCTAGAAGGACTCGTAAGACTCAACATATAGTTCTACCCACAGCTAAGATTTATTATAGTGACACAGCAAGGATATATACAGCCAGATCAGTAAGGAAAAAAGACACCCAAGGAATCTGGAAAAATCCATGTGCAGGCTTCCTGTGCTTTCTCTCCCTCTCGTGACAGATCTTGCAGAGTATACTCTCCCCCCAGCAGCAAAAATGCAGTCACATGTGTGTAGTGTCTCTGCCCAGGGAAGCCCATTAAAGTCTTAGCACCCGAGGATTTTATTGGATTGGTCACATAGGCACCTTCTGCATAGCGACTTCAAAATTTTCAGACTCCCAAAAGGAAAGAAGGTGTTTAGTCCCCAGGTGGGCAAGACAGTCTTATTACTTAGAGAAGCTTCATGTCCGTATAGGGACCTGTTTACCAGCCAAGTTCTCAGATGCTAGCAGAGAGCCAACCTTTTAAGCAGGTTCTTCTAAGATAGCAGCCTCAGGCTTGCTACAGTAACTTACAGAGACCTATTTCCTTAACTGTAGTTTTCATTGTTTTTGCCATTACTTTCAAAAGCATATAATTCAGTTATTTAATTTTAATTAATGTAATTCAATTATAACTTTTTCATTTTAGAAAATGTCACGTCTCTTGGGAAAATAATGAAATCTCTCTTAAGAGAATTTCATCATAATATTTGCAATATTTACAAGAGACATCTAAGGCTTTGCTTCTTTGAATGATGGATAAATCTGTATTGTGTGCCTAGAACTCTCTTAGGTTTCAGTAATATGTACACTGATTATATTCTGCAATGACAATCGATATGAGAATATATTTATTGGGAAAGAAAAGATAATCGTGTTAAAAAGAAAACTTGCAGAGCATAAAATATGTTTTTGTGTAGATTTTAAAGTAGACTTCCATGTTCTAAGGAATAGCATGCAAAAAGCATAGGAGGTACATTATATAACTCATTTCTTTTGAGCTGTAGCTTATTCATGTAGCTTCCTAAAAACAAACCACCCCCATCTTTGTCATTTTTGAAAATAATGAGCTGTAAAATTATAATGATTACTTGTGGAAACACAAAAGGAAAAAAACCCCAATCAGTAATTTTACAGCCAAACAATTTAGGGAAAATAACTATATGTAAATTAACTATACTTAAGCACACTAGCCTGCGTTATTATTTTGAAGCAAAGTGCACTCAAGAAAATCAACACAGCATAATAGGTTTTATCTTTTGTGCTTTCTCTCCAAAATTGATTGTGAATTTCTGTAGCCATGGATCTTACAAAGTTTTATACACACACGCACACTCCGCATACATACATATTTTTTTGGCTTTGACACTTGGGCGATTATTTCTGGGTTACACTGTATGACAGCAGATTATCTGATCCTTATCTTTAGGACTGATATCCATCCATAATATTATATTCATGAGAACTAGGTAAATCATATACAAAACAAAATTATTATACCGTCATGCGTTGCTTAATGATGGGGACACATTCTGAGAAATGCCTCATTAGGTGATTTCATCACTGCGAACTTCATAGAGTGTACTTACACAAACCTAGATGGTATAGCCTACTGCACACCTAGACAATAGGTACTAATCTTATAGGACCATCATCGTATATGTGGTCTGTCGTTGACCAAAATGTCATTATTCAGTGCATGATTGTATAAGTAGGATGTTATTTTATGAGCAAAGATACTAAATGAGAAAGTATGGTACGGAATACGAATTTGTAGTATAAAACCAAGACCAGCAAGTTTTATGTGAACAAAATCTAATTGCTCTGTACAGACATAACCTTTGTAAAGAAAAAGAAGAATCTGTTACCTAAAATTCATTTTGAAGGATTGTCTGTGAATTAAAATTACACATGCAATCTCTTACCCTGTTAGTTAGTTAATCATATAAATATAATTAACCTTATTATACCAGTGAACAATCTGGCTTAGTAGACTGACTAGAACCAGTGACTTATAATCATTAATTGAAAGCTAGACCAGTCAATACAGTGGTGGGGTTTTTTTGTTAAGACATTAAGCTGTTCCGGCAGTTAGCATGGAGTAGACAGATAGGCGGGTTTAACTGGCGTGGTTGTTGAACTAGGCAAGTATGATGCAAGGAGTGTGGTTTAAGGGAATGATTGTAATGATATCTCATGGAAACCAAGCGGAAGAAGAAAAATAAAGGCACAAAACAGTGGTAAGGTGAATGAATTGGATGCCTCAATGAAGATTTTCTAAAAATTGCTGGATTGGGAGTATTGGACTATGTAAAATGTAGATGATGGAGGCAGTGGTTGGAGTATGCTGAAGATAACAAACATATGGTCATGGGGGTGGGTAGCTGAGGGTTGGAGAAGTAAAGATCATTGGAGATGAGCGACTGAGGAGCCAAGGTGCTGACATCCCCTACATGAAGATTAGTCACCATTAATAGTGACAGAAGTAGGTGTGAGAAGAAAATATTGATCCAAGCGCTGAAATAGTTAGTGACTGAGGGGGAGTGCCTACGAGATCCAGTAGGTGATAGTGGCTTATGGAATAGAATGAACTTCAAAGGAACAAATGATAGTCATCTTTGCCTGCCTGCTCCATATGGTTTGTTAGAAAATCAAATGAGATATTGCCTGGGAAAGCACAATAAACCCCTAAAAAAGGTATGAATATATATGTATGCATATGTAAGAGCCCTTGGTTTCAACTACTGCTTTGTGCCCCAATTTCTCTGCCTACAAAATAAGGACAAAAATAATATCCTCTCCTGCTTCGTGGGAGATTAGAAAGTTCAGTGGCATGATGTATATGAATTTGTTTTGAGGCTTTGGAAAGAGAAAGTACTTTCTCTGACTGGGGTTCAGAGCCATCCTTTAGCTCTTGAGTTCTGTGCAGCATGCTGGCACTCCCGATAGTGCCCTGAGTATCAGATAACGTTCTTCCTTATCTTTGATTTCAGACATTTCAGCAGTCTTCTCTGCAGCACAAATCAAAGAAGAAAAACAAAGGTAAGAGAAGGAAATAAAACATTTACCTGCTTAGTTTGCACTGTGATAATCACCAGCACACATCACCCATCCTTTCCGGCCTGAGCCCAGTGTGGTTTGGAAGAGCACAACCCCCTAGTGCAAACGCTGCCAAGACCCGCTTCTCCTTCAGGTCAATTATGGTACGAGGTACCTTTTACAACAAATGATCTCAACAGCTGTTAAGACTGGGATTACACACTTCTGATTAAATTGTATGTCACTTATGTAGGGGAAAAGGTATTAAAGATTTCCATAATTTTCTATTCTGATACAATGTGAAAATAAGAATTTTTAAATTTGTTAAGTACCCAGATTTATTTTTGCGATCTATAAATAATCTACCTTCACACCTGTACAAAATTTAAAGAGCATTTTTACCTATTTATCTTTAGGTCCTATAGCTGGCAAGAGCAAAAGACGAATTTCTTGCAAAGATCTTGGCCGTGGTGACTGTGAGGGCTGGCTTTGGAAAAAGAAAGATGCGAAGAGTTATTTTTCACAGAAATGGAAGAAATACTGGTTTGTCCTAAAGGATGCATCCTTATACTGGTATATTAATGAAGAGGTAAGATAAAGCATGTTTTATTTTCTCATCATTTTCTACCTGTAGCCAAAAGAATAGCCATTTTGAGACTTAGGTTTTAAAATCATATAATCGCCTTAAGGCTAATTCAGGAGACTTCTGCTAGTTATTTTTCAATCTGTCTTCTTAAAATTATTTCATTTTGGGGTTCTGGAAATATAATTGTCTCAGTTATTCTAATGTAGCAACATAGCTGAAGCAAGGATAAAGTATAGTCAGATTCTGTGTATCTAATTAAAAATACCTAAAAGCGGTAGCTTTGCTAAAAGGATTATACATGGAAATTTGATATAGATTTTTAAATGTCTTGCTTTTGTTCAAAGTTTAAAATTTTTTTCTGTTTGTTTTTCTGGGGGAGGAAGTCCTTTAGTAATTTAAGCAAATTAATGTCACCTGAATTTATTTCAGTTTTTCTTCAAGAAAAAATGAACAGACTAGTTTTGAAAATCTGCAGGTATTCATTTTATTTGGCCCAATTGTGGGGAGAGGGAGTGTATATAATACATTTAAATTGTTCTTATGATTTCCTGTTTCATTTGCAGTAAACAGATTTATATCCAGAGTAATTATATCACAACCTGTCACATGTCACAACAGATACTCAAGAGTATACCTTATTCATCGATAGTCCCTTGACTCTACATTTTCTTTGATTCCTTTGCCATAGCCATTCATCAGTTCACCTTACTAAGTTATTTTAAACCATAATTTCATTGTTAACTTGTTTTCTCAAAAAATACACATTTAATATTGTGTGCTGGCTAAATAGTCTTATAGAATACTATTAAGACATTATTCAATTTGCATTTGAAGATTAATTTTTGAAATATAATTTAACACCATTATTATGCCTATGATTATAACATACAGTATCAAGAGAAGTTTGTGTTCTCTGGACAGGCTGTTAGGTTAGTTCGTGGTCATGGTATGTCAGAACAATGCCTGGCACAAACTAAGTACTTGATAAACACATGCTATGACTAATATTTTTCAAATTGACCTCTTATTTCATTTTAAAATCCTGAATTAATATTTTGCTATTTAATATAAATGTCTATATTATCTATCTAGAAGGGTTTATTTTCCATACTTTTGATATTTTTTTGTAGCAATTACACTAAAAAATCTTCTATTTTAATAAGTTGTCTTGTCTTAGATATAGTAAACAAACCATAATTTTGCCTACGTTTTCTTTTAACAGATATATATTAAACACTTCTTATATGCCAATGAAGTAGTATCAAAATATAGAGTCTCTATGTTTCCCTTTATTTTAAGGTCACTGGTAGATTTGTCTGCTGTATGCTAAATTATATTCTGTCTTCCAAAGTTTAAGCAATAAAAAATTGTGGCCCTTTTTGTTGAACAGTAGCTAAATTTCAATCAGAGAGTTATTATTACTGTGTTGGCCTTATGAGAGGTGAGTGAATAATTTCGTAGTATACATTGCAAGAAATACCCTAGTATGTGTGATTTTTTTTTTTTAGGAGAATTGTAGAAATCCCGTATCACATCATTATGGGGAGATAATAACTACCCCAAAAATATTTAAAATTGTTCAAAATTTAAAATTTTTAAATTAAAGACATGAAAGGTAACATGATAGAAATCCAATCTGAGAAAGAGATTTGAAACTATTTTATTCACCCCAAGATTGGAAGGAAAAAAATATTCAAACATTGAAAAATATTGAAAAAATTATATTACTGCTCTTTTTTATAACACACATATTTTAGTCACTATCACTAGCACCAAATTTTTGTTGTTTTACATATATATACATATACACGTACACAGACACTGAAAGAATTGAGAATCTCTATTTTTGTTCTTTGAGATAGCAGATGTAGGTTTAGTCTCACTTGAACTTGATATCTAAGAAGACATGAAGTGGTACAGCACAGATCAAAGTTTAAGAGAGTAAAAATCTGAGGAGCTTGGTCATGCGCAGGAAAGAGACAACAGTAATTAAAGGGTTTAGGCAAAGATAGTCATAGCTTAGTTGGGATAACTTGTATCTAATGTAAGATTTTAGATAATTCTCCTATCTTGTTCTTTCATCTCAAATTAGAGAAAGGAGGATTTTATAGATTTCATTCAATTTTCCAAGTGAAAAATGACCTTTATATATATAGCATGTATACCAAGTCAGATATTTGAAGATCAAATTAACCTACTTGATTTGTAAAATCATGAATATACAAAATAATTGTTTAATTCATGTTTAATAAGAGATAATTTTGGATGCAGAAAAGGAATTGAATTAGTAAACTTCCCTATATTTTATATTTGAACATTAAAAATGATAGAAAATTGTGAATTGTAAATGTGGACTAAAGTTGTTTTATATGTTATAAAAGTATTTATACATTCTGATGAGAAAATTACTTAGTAAACATTTTTCACTTTGAGAACTAAAGAATTTTCTACCTTTAATATAAAAAGGATTTAAGAATTTCTGTATATATTTTAATTTGTAGTGTTCTAAATGTTCGAAAGATACCTTCAATTTAATAGAATATAATAGGTAAGAGTGGAATTCTAATTTCTAAAATGGCAAATTTAAGGAATTAAATGAATAAATTGATTAGTATAGATATTTAAGGCATAATTATAGTTATAGTATCATCAGCTTCAAACCTTTGTATATAATACCCTAAACAAGAGTGTTGCCTCTTTAGGATGAAAAAGCAGAAGGATTCATCAGTCTGCCTGAATTTAAAATTGATAGAGCCAGTGAATGCCGCAAGAAATAGTAAGTTAATTTTATTTGGGGAGAGGGAGAGAAGGGAAGGCTTTTTTTTTTCTTTTAATTTCCAGCTTTTAAATTATAGGTTGCTTGTCTAATGCTTTCAAATTGAGGTAATAAAGCAGTTTTATGGGCAGAAAATGGAATTTTTTACTGATTTCTGTCATCATGGCAGAAACATTACATATGTTAACTCAAGCTAGATGTTGAGGTAATTTTATCCATAAGAATTATTGGTTCTAACTTATTTCCCAATTTGAAATAAAATAAATGTACTTTGTTTCTTTTTGCAGTGCATTCAAAGCCTGTCATCCTAAAATCAAAAGCTTTTATTTTGCTGCTGAGCATCTTGATGATATGAACAGGTAAAGTGTTACTTAAATTTCAAAGTACTTAGAAAGTCAGTTAGGCTTAGATTTCTAAGTTTTCCACATTAATATTTAGAGAATAATGTCCCTGAAGTTTCTAGATCGATCAGTTTAAAATAGAATGGACCCAGCCATAGTTCTGTGTAACCATACCTAATTTTAAAGAATGGCATTTAAAAAGTCAAAATAAACTCATTGACTATCAAGTTTACCAAAACTGTGCCAGAATCCATATATAGGCTCAAAAAAAAATCCACCACAAAAAAAAAGACTTTTTAAAAGTCCATTTCAGGAATATGTCTTCAAATTTATTCTTAGGTGGGGAAAGAAAGATATCCATAAAAACGTTGACTTTTCCAAGTGCTGAGTATATATGACAGAACATCCATCTCAATAATTCAGGCCTAAACTAAGTTAATATTTATTTCTGTCACCTTTCTTCTCTCACCAGACAGGATTGTATAGCAAAGTGATTAGATGGCTCCGTGGTTATTTGGTGGCTCTGGGAAAATCTCTATATACTTTTTCCCAATCATCTACAACATTCTACTTCGTGTTTCCACTTTAGCTTTTATGAGTTCATTCCTTTCTTCATTTTTCTTTCCTTTCCCCTCTTCCTTTTCTAGATTTGTGGAAATTGGGTTTAAGATTCAAAATTTTTCCCTTGACAGATCTTCAGCAGGCAGTGCATATGACATATATAACCTACTCACAGCTAGGGAGAGGCAGCTTAGCATAGTGGTCAAGAGCATGGATTTTGGAACCAGGCTGTCCAAATCCTAGCTCTCCTACTTACTAGCTCTGTGACCTTGGACATAGAACTTAACTTCTCTATGCCGGGTATTGACTCTTAAAAAATGGGGATATTAACCATCTCCACCCATACGACATTTGTGAGGAGCAAATAAGCATACACAAAGGGCTTAGCACAGTGGCTAAATAGTAAGTGTTATGTAAATGTTTACTAGCAATATATATTCCTTTTACATACTTTGGGCTCTTACTCCATTTACCTTTCTTTTGTGTCTCTAAAAAATTAGTATCCAGATATTTTTAGGCACAAAATTGTTCTGTGCAGCTTCATAAATGTGCTTGAACACACTAAATGAACACTTAATGTGCTATTATAAATAATCTTGCTCTTTGGCACTTGGGAGTATAGGCATGGTTTTTCCAAAGCAGGATATAAATATAGGGAAATGGCAAAGAAGGGTGTTGAGAACACTTGATAAAATCTTTTATTATTAATAAGGGAACTGAGCCTTTCGTATAGTTTCCATAATCAACTCTTGATTTTTATGTTACCGTTCTTGAAATTTCATACTAGGCAATCAGAATTTGGAGAGCTTTTTCTCCTTAACTTGTTCTCAAAATGAAAATGTTTATTCACATGCCACGTGCTTGGGGGGCGCGGGAGGGGGTTATGATATTCTATTTTGTGTTTTAATAATTTTATAATTCTGTTCTTGTTACTCACTATCCATTTTACTCCTTGTTGAGCTCAGTGCCCTTGGGATAGATATGAAGGGTTTACACCATAGCCAAACTGCAAATAAGTGGTGTATATGAGCATGTCCCATCTTACAAGATAGATACACTAGAACACAGTCACCTCCATCTAAGAATTAACATAATTTAATCATTCATGATACATGCTAATCAGGGTCTTTTTAGGTTTGGAAAATGGCCTGTTCAAAAATGTATTTTTATGAGCCATAAAGCCATTCTGTCCATTCCCTACCCTGTGTTAGCAGTAACTTCAGAGGTGTGTGATGTCACTACTCTTCCCTAACACTCCTATGGATATGTCTGGTTCAGGATATCACAGACGTCAAACCAAACCCATGTGTTTCATTTTGTTGCTTTTTCTAAACAATGGGTCAAAGATAAACGTGAATCTGATCAAATATGTCATCAGCACAGCGTACACTTAAGAGTGCTGTTGTATATAAACCTTGCCATGGTGCACTACCACCTTCAGAATGGAATTGTCCTGAAATACTGCATCTTTTTAACAATTTAAGTGTAATGGGCTTTTATTGTTTTGCTTTGTGTTTTCTTTTTTTATATATAATCGTATTCCTGACATCTACTTTCAATAGACAAGTTTAAAAAAATTACTCTTTAATAGAAAAGGGGAGAGTTATTGCTGGAAATACTCCCAGAATTTTAGTGATGGGGAGAGAGACCTTCTAACTCTGTTCGGTAACTTGATTGTTAGATAATAGCAAGATGATCTGGGTGTTGGTTTGTTCTATATGTAATCTTTTAAAGGCATGTACCTAAGTCTTCAAGAGATAATATATTTATAATAATTATAAATATATTTCACAATTTATCTGGTTATTTCATAATTTCTAAAGCATTATCATAGGTATTTAAAACATATAGTTATAGTTGTGACAGGACCTAGTAAGTGGACTGAAAAAGTAATTTTTTAATTTAATTTTCCTCTGTAAAATCTATATACACGTGCTTATACATATACCCATATATACATATATATACACGTATGCCCAAATATATGTGTGTATACACACATAGAATATTAAAATCTCACCTATTTTTTGAGCATCTGTAAGTTTGATTGGGAGGTAATTTGCAAAACACTTTTGAGCACCCCACCACCATCCATCTGTTCCCTCCTCAGAAATGAGCATTGAAACATTAAAAAAAATTTTGCCAGTCTGTGAAATCTGTGGGAAGAAAATAAAACATCATGTTTCTCAAGTATTCTGCAACTTATTTACTGAATTCATTGGGCCTATACATTCCTTATTGTGTCAGCACATATGTCCTTGTACTTGTGAGGACTCACTAATTTCTATTTGGTAATCATTATTTGTACATTTCTCCTATGGTTCTAACCCTTTTATCCCCCCTCAATACATTATTCTGTGTCAGTTACTGACAACTTCATTGGAATGTTCACTGTAGGTGCAATATCCCCTTACCTGTATTTTCTTGTCTTAAAGCATTGGTGATATTGTAAGATAGTGAATTTAGAACTAATATTAAAGAACTTACCCATGAGTACGTTTGAAAAGATTCTAAATTCAATACTTGTATCCATGAGCACCTTATCTTAAAACAGCCTCCCCTAATCCCAGGCACCTTTGACATTCTAATTTTTTACCTTTTTTTTTTTTTGGTATTACTTGCTACTACTTCACATCTGTTTATTTGTATCCGTTTATTGTCTGTCTCCCTCACTAACATAGAAGTATCATAAAGGCAGACATTTTGTTTTATCTCTGTATCCTGGTTACCTAGAACAGTACCTGGCACACATAGGCTCTCAATAAATAGTTCTCGACTAAGTTAGTGCATGTATATGGGCTATTCATAATAGTTTATCGATACCAAATCATAACTAAAGCAAGTGTATAGTAAGCATCTTCTAGCTGAGGCCTTAAAGACAAGTTTATCCAATACAACACTAACATTTGTGTAGTGTTCGGCCTTTTGTAGCTATACGCTGTGGCCTGAGTTTATCCACACACTTTCTAAAGAGTTTTATTATGAACAGAATTTTTTCTTCCCTAAAGTAATTTAATTTTTCAATTGTCTTATGAAATTTAGCAATTCTGGAGCTCCTCAAAGGCAGGAACTATGTCTTATTCATTTTTTTAGCCCCAAAACAGCTCATTGTTCAGCATCTAGCAGGCACTTAATAAATGTTGTTGAGCTGAAAAATTAAGGAAGCCTCTTTTTAGTTTCCTGATTCCTCTTATAAAGAACTCATTGTTCTTTAGACTTCTGATAAAATGAAATTTCAGTGATATGTTAAAAAGTAGTAAATATGAGGTAGTGGATTAAAATTCAATAATAAATGTTCCTCTAGTGGTATTATCATCATTTTCACTCAAAAAGCACCAAGCTAGTCTTTCCCAGGAGTGCTAAGATTGGCCTTGTAGTACAAATTCAGTTGCTTTCTCGCTACAAATGACCTATAGACTACATTTTAATTTTGACCTTTTACTAATGATTAGAGTCATTTTTAAAAGGTTATTTGTCATGAAGTTGACTTCTTGACTTATAGTTTATAATTTTCTGGAGCATGTGTGTGTATACCATGCTACGAATTCATTAGATCAATCTTTATTACATTTCCACTCAGTCCCTTCTTCACTTCCCAAACATACCTAAGGTGATAATTGCATTGTAGGTTTTGTCAAAATAAAGTTGGGCTTTAAATAACTTATTCTTAAAAATTAAAGCTTAAATTTCCATGGATGTGATTTTGTCTATTAGAGACACAACTTTCCCCTCTTTTCAAGATATTCTGAGTATCTGATGCACAGTTAACACCGCTTGGCATGAGTGATGAAGTATATGAGTCACTTCAAAGAATGTCATCTTCCACTTGACAGGGGAGATAAGCTCTTAGGAGAAAAAGTTGTCAAATACAATTTTTTCTTAAAAATATATCTTGATCATATTATTCCACAAGTTAATCTTGTGTTAACTATGTTAACTATGCTAGTGTTAACTAGCTTAACTAACTAGTTAGTTAACTAGTTAACTAACTGTGTTAACTATGCTAGTGATTCCAAATTTACTCACGTTAGTTTGCAAGGTGAATTCTTCCTTAATTTCTCATTTTTGAAAGTATAATGGATCATAGCTTAGGATTGACCAATGGGAAATTGTCAGTTTACATTAAAGATTTTATGATTTGATATTCTGATGCAGTGTTAACAGTTGGAGTAATGAGCACAGGGAGAGACCTGGTGGGAGAAAAGATGGAAATTGAAACAATGCTTTGCTTCAGGCAGTTTCCTACATTGGCAGTAGCAGCCCTACTAAAAGAGGAAAGAACTAAGATTTATTTTTAAGTTACTATTGTTCGTGAAAACAAATTTTCAGGATCTAAACAGAGGTTAAAATTGTATAGGCTTATTTTGTCTTTGGAAACCTGAATACCCTTGTACTTAGAGACAAATTTCCAAAGTACTCCCAAGGTGTATTTCCCCTTGGATCGTTAAACTTAAATGAGCTTCATCAAAACTAATATTTTATAGTAAAACTTATTTTGACAGTCAAGGTCCATAATTTTTTCCCTTATCGGGACAAGTTATAGCTGATGTTGTTTAAATATCTCTATTGGAGCATTTGTTATAAAGAAACAGAACAGCAGAAATATTTGGAGTGCTTCTACATTTGGAGCAACAGAATTAATAAGGCTTTTGTCATCTCAAAACCCTTTATGGTACAGATATTAACATGTTTGCCCAAGACTTTTCTATTGAAATAGCATCTTTTGTGGGGGATCAATGTATACTACAGCAAATTATAGCTCATTGAAGACTCTAAGTGTCAAGGATAGCAGAGAACACATTTTTTATGTAGGATTATTCCATAAATTTTTATGCATCTTAAAATAAATATTTCTAAGAAATAAAGTATAAGAAATTAAGTTGCACTGTTACTGATTTTAATATTTGTTTTTGCAGGTGGCTTAATAGAATTAATATGCTGACTGCAGGATATGCAGAGAGAGAGAGGATTAAGCAAGAACAAGGTAAAAGAATACTTATTTTTACAATTGTGTTATACTTTTTTTCTTGGTGTTATCCTATGCAGTGGTTCACTGCCATCACTTGAGAGACAATACATATGTCAGTTTGTGGTTATTACTATTCTGGGCACTTTGAATCCAAACCATAGCATCTTACAGGTAAGTTTAGTAAATTAAGCAGGTAGGGAATAAACTCTCAAGTTTTGGGAGCAGCTAATCTGGAGTTCTCTCCTGTTTGTTGCTGTATCTCTCAATCTATTTACTATGGAGGAAGAAATCTTAAAAATTGAAAAGCCCACAGGGCTGGCCCCGTGGCTGAGTGGTTAAGTTCGTGCACTCTGCTGCAGGCGGCCCAGTGTTTCGTTGGTTCGAATCCTGGGCGCGGACATGGCACTGCTCATCAGACCATGCTGAGGCAGCGTCCCACATGCCACAACTAGAAGGACCCACAATGAAGAGTATACAACTATGTACCAGAGGGGCTTTGGGGAGAAAAAGGAAAAAATAAAATCTTTAAAAAAAAAAAAATTGAAAAGCCTGTAATTGGTCCTATATGTTGACCCAAGTCCAGGTCCTTGGTGGTGAGTAGTTTTTTCTGTTTAGTGGTTTCATTGACATTTAAGTGGTCTTTTATGCAAAGAGCTCAGATGGATCCCTTCTTGCATAAATTATTTCATTTAATTATTTTCTTCAGTTCTGTTACTGTGTAACTCTTGTGATCTTAGGGAACTTGCCTTGGTATTGACCTCAGATTCATGAAACTCAATGTCATGATGTAGAATTGAAATCTTAACGAAAGGTATGGTCACCATTCTGAAATGGCTTCTTATTTACCAAAGAGCATTTGCTGTACATCACGTAGAAGCATAAATAGTGTTTTAAAATTTTTGAAACACCCTAAAGTTAAAAGAATTCCAGATTGATACACGTACAAACCTATTTCTAGTTGTGTCTCCAGTATGCATATCCTGTTTATTGATGTGGAGATTCTAATACCCTTCTGTTTCCTCTCGGAGTAAAACCTCAGCGAAAACTTTTTAAAACATCTAAAAACTAAAAGGTAGAGAGATCTAAAGAAGATGACCAGATCCTAAGACCAATCTGTTAGCAAATATTTAGGGCAGGGGTCAGCAAACTTTCTGTGAAGTGCCAAATAGTAAATATTTTAGGCTTTGCAAGCCATAAGTTTCCTGTCCCAACTACTCAAGTCTGCTGTTGCAGCAGCAAAGCAGCCGTAGACACATGAAGGGGCATGGCTGTGCTCCAATCAAGCTTTATTTATGGACACTGGGATTGAATTTCATATCATTTTTCGTGTTGTGAAAAACATCCTTTTTTTGCTTTTTTTTTAACCATTTAAAAATGTAACAACCATTCTTGGTCCCCACCAGCCTTATAAAAACAGGCAGAGTGCCTCATTGGCCTGCAGGCCATAGTTTACCAACCCCTGGTTTAGAGCCATGGCCTGAGGCAGTAGGGGTGGGTGGAATGGTGCAAGGTGAAGAGATAGGGCAGGAAGATTTCAAAGAAATAGCAAAACATCGTTCCTGCTGATGCAAATTTATCATCTTATTGGAGATCTCAAAAATACACACTTGAAATTACTTAAGAAAAATTAAAGGGCAACGTAAAGTAAATCAGTACTAATTTTTGCACAACATGCAACTGATTAAAAAAAATCTGCTAAGTGGATGCAAAATTTTTTTAAAAAAAAAAGAAACCTGAGAACGAGGCAGGACTAATGAAGAAATATTTGCTGAAGAAAGTGATCAGTGAGCCTGATGTAAAGTCAGCAGTGAAGGGGGAGAAAAGATATTTTATTCAATATTAACTGTTTCTGTGTAAGGCCTTCAACTAGCATTCTAATTGTGTTAAGGTGAAATAGGTACCCATCCTGCCTGAAATTGCACTGAATTCTGGTAGAAAAGATATCTTAGTACAACACAGAAAGTGAAATGTACGAAAGTACAAATCAAGTTCCATGGGAATAAGGCTGGAGAGATTCCTTCCAGGAGGGGTGTGGGGAAAGGTTTTAATGTTGCTTCTGTTATCTGAACTGATTCTTGAAGGGATAAGAAGGATGGAGTCAAGGAAGTAGCAAAATAAAACATTCCTGGGAGTGGAGGCAGCATGGATGCTTCGGCAAATAAAGTGGAAGCCATCTCCATCAAATCAGTATGCATAGGCAAACCCCAGCCAGGACTGTGAAGTGTCAGGCCAGTTATTAAGCCACATTTCTTCATTGTTAAAAGTTTATACCCCACCTTCATGCTTCAACTTAATTTACAGGCCTAAAATTGTGGTAAGAGTACTAAAAAAAATACCAGCCTGCCTTTTCAAATTTCTTTAAAGAGCATAAAATTTCTCTGAAGGTGCATATAGATTTGTTTCTGATTTTTTAAGATGCAAGAATTAGAACTGTGGGCAATGTACTGATAGAAAAATGAGTCTTTGAAAAAAAGTCAATTTGTGTGAATAAGAAAGCTTAGATTTTCAGGGTTAACTTCTATATTTTATTACTTGGCATTACTTTGAAGCTGGGCATGGTCTTGATTTTAGCGAATTTCCTTTGTACTTGGGTTGTATAACCAAATTTCATTATGAATGAAAGAAGTGGTAAGTTATACTACATATACAGGTTCCAAAAAGTATTCATTCCATGGATTCATGCTGCCTGTCTGTCATGTGAGTATATATTTTAGCGCCTTGTAGAATGTGGTACACAATCATAGGCTGAAGCTAATAGTTATAATTCAAGTCTCTCTTGCTAATGCAATGCAACCAGAATCTCTGAAATAATTTGGATTTCCACACAGAGTGTACATTCCTCAGGCACATTAACATAGGACAGAAACATATTAGACTTCTGGCCTTCTGCATGGTTAGGTCTCACGGCATTCTATGTAGAAAACTGCTGAATGCGTGTGTCTACTCCACACTTTTATAGAGTTATTTGACATCTCCTGAGTACCATTCTCAGTAGTGAAGTTAAACTTCATACAAAATATAGCTCTTTGAGGATTGAGGATATTTCACAAAGATGGAAAGGAATAACTTCCAAACACTGTTTCTATTAAAAAACCCAGCAGCTTGGAAGTGACTCTTTAATTAACTTAAATAAAAGTTTGGTGAATTGTTGTCTTTAACTACAGAAATGTAAAGGATGTTGGGTTCTCTGTCATTATTTGTTGTTGTACTTAGAGAAAACAGGATTATACTAAATTCTGCTCAGATCATAATTTGGCTAATTGCTAATCGTTTTTCTGTATTTTTCCAGCTTCAACTCAGACATTCATGACACATTATTTTCAGTTACATATAAGATCTTTGTAAAGCTTTAATACAGAAAAATGAATGAAATGTATTGTATTTCTTTGATAGTTCTAGATGAAAAAGTCGATCTTTTTTCAAATTATTCTTTTGTATCAACATGAGAAGTGGCAATTTTCTTCGTCTAGTGATGGCACTGTTTATTCATGATTAGTTATTTATAAAATTGAATATCACTGCAAGAGACATTAGAAGTATCCATTTATTTTGTACTAAATAGAGAGCTAAGGAAAATAAATTAATTTGCTCTTAGAATGAAAGTCAGACTAGTTTCAGCCTCTAAGCACAGTGTGCCTGTAATTTTCCACACAAACCCAGAAAGCCTGGCTAAATTTTCTCTGTAGCCTGTTCTCTGGCATTGCTCTCTCAAAGACACACAGCTTAGTGTGAGAAATGAATTTAATTTGCAAAGTGGTATTTCAGTCGCTTATTAGGCAACTCAAGAAAAGTTTAGATTGATGGCACTTTTTAGTAAACCAAGAATTACATCAAATAGTGGATTCGAATCCTTCCTAATTTACCTGGTGGAGGAATAATGGAGAGAGAGTCTTCTAAATCTATCACTTGCAATGATAGCTGTCAAGATCTCTCCTCAGTGTGCTGATAAGGACCACTTGAGGTGGTAACTCCTTGAGACCCTAAGGTATCAGTGCAAACATCAAGGAGAAACTCAGGGCAGGTGCTAGTTTCTGGAAATAGTGGGAAGGATAAGAGCAGAGTTATCTTGGCAAGCCCACTCCTTGGGGGCGGGATGGGGATGCCCAGTCCCTTCACCTCCAGCAGTGACTTCCCAGTACTATTTGAACCTCCCACAAAACTACCCAACCCAGACCCTAGAGCTCATTGCTAGAACTTGCTGTAAGATAAAACGTAATGTCTAAGAAGATGAACACCAGGCATTTATCTCCTGTGTAATCTGGGTCAGACTGTCCTGGCATGCCTACAAATCTACCCAAGAAGATCAGGGGTCCTAAAATTTACTGAGTGTTTTCAAGGTGGAAGGCTCTTGAATATCTGTTACTTTATTTAGTCCCTCCCATACACACAACTCTGAAAGGTGGTTATTATTAGCCCCCTTTTACAGATGACGAAACAGACTCAGAGTGGTTAAGTAACCATCACAAGAGCACAGAACTGGTAAGTGATACAGCCAAGAAGTGAGCTACATCTGCCTGAGTATATATAGTTCATGCTTTTCACATCAGTGTTTGCTAGGTCCATCTCAGGACAAGTACATCAGTTCATATTTAAGGGGAGACTTAGTATACTGGCCATCACCAGCATGATCCAATGTAAAAACCAGACATCAGTTTAAATTAACTAGTCTTTGCTTATCTTTTACTCAAAGGGGTTAATTAAAGTAGGAATAGAATTTTCAGAGTCCTTGTATTTTGAGGCCTGAACATAAAAATCTCCATTGCTAAAGAATTTCTATTCACAAAAGCCAGTTATAGAGCTGCAGGAGGAGGGGAACTTAAAGGATCATGACTATGTATCACGTTAAACTCTCCCACTGTGTCCTACAAAAGAGTCCCAGTGACTTAGCCCTCCGAGGTTTGGAGCAAGGCAATTTCTTAGTTCAAGTCCCAGCTCTACTACTTTCTATTTGGCATATAGTAAGTACTCAATAAATGTTAGCTGTACTTATTAATGTTAGTCAGCACACAAAGAAAACATATAAAAATATTACAATATGGGAATTCCTGGGTGGAGAGGGGTTCCTGTAAAAATATGTGCTGTGATTTTTCACCTAAATCTGAATATTAGTTAAGCCTTCTGATGGTTCTTTTATGATTTAGATTTTCATAAGAATAAGGAACCTTTTGTTTTAATTCCTTTTCTCTCCTTTTATCATCTAAAATTCATATGGGTAGTACTTCTAGGGTTTTCTTTGTGAATCAGCTAAAGAATTAACCCAGCAGTTACAGAGTGGTTGAGATATTAGTGGAACAGATTCTGATTATTGGCCTTTGTGCTGTCTTTTATTTACTCAACTAACGTATCTCAGAGTTTTTCCCCTTCCCTCTTGCCTGAGGTCTGCCAAGTCACTTTGTCTAGCGGCTTACATTTTCTACCCTTTAAGTAGTTCTAGAAGTTTGGAACTTGCAGCCCACATCAGCAGATTTGCCCTTTTGCATTTGGCACGAATCAGAGTTTGCCATGTGTTTCCAAGTAGAGGTGGGAGTATGGTGTTATAGAGATTCATGTCAGCATGACTCTGGAAACGGTGATTGTTAGATAACTAGTGAATTGAAGCCAGAGAAGAGAATTGAGAACATTATTTTTGGAGCTGTTTAATCTGTAGAGATCTATAGCAATGTATGTATTGCTTTTCTCTGAGTGTTCATCTTTAGGATAAAATGATACACCTTTAAGAAGCATCTTGTGACATCGTTCATGAACTGAAGCTTCAGAATAATTTGATCTGGAATCTCAAACACCCTAACCTGATTTGGCTTATGCAGTGTCTTTTTATTAACTCCTTAAAATTGCATCTATGTGTAATTGTTTGCTTTAAAAGGAGGTTGGAATTAGGTGATTGTACTCTTCCTTCCTCCTCAAAACCCAGCTGAAAATAAAAATTGGTGGGCCTGGGATAGGGGGTGCTGGGGAGCAGGGTATAGGAGTGGAATTTAAATTTCCGTTTGTTAGCTGGTAGCGTGTATTTCTGAAAATATAGCTAGAAACATTCAGTAGAATGTTGATGTATCCATGTGTGTGAATTTTCAGATTACTGGAGTGAGAGTGACAAGGAAGAAGCAGATACTCCATCAACACCTAAACAGGACAGCCCTCCACCCCCCTATGATACATACCCGCGGCCTCCCTCTGTAAGTTGCCAACAGGAATGTACTTAATATAGCATTAGATTCTTTGACCTGAAACATCCCTTTGTGTCTTAAAAAAAAATTATATGGTGAATTGCATGTTAGACCTCAGGTTTCTAAGGGGGAAAGAAAATAGGGAGTCTAAAAGCAATAAGGGAAAAATTTTAAGTATACAAAGAATATTTAATCAGGAGAAACAGTCATACAGATTCCAAGCATAATAAATATCTGACCAGTTTCATTAAGAAATACTGTGTGTGTCAAAGTAGGCTTCATGGAAATATCAGCAACAGAAATGTTTTCTTAGAAAAAGTTACATAAATTGACCTTATCTATTCCCCAGTAATAAAGTTCATTCCTATGTCCCCTAGAAGCAACTCATAAAAATTAATATTATGTCTGTATTGAACATGTTTTGGCATGTAACTTTTTAGACAGCCATGGCGTCTGGTTTAATATATATGTTTATATGGTGCTCCAGACTACTTAAACCTGTGTGAATTAGTCTGTGTGTAGATTGTACTTTGATCTTTTAATAGGGTAAACAACTGTCCCGGTGTGCTTGGGATCATCCCACTTTATGCCCGTTTCTTATCAGAATTACCAAGACTGTCTCAGCAGTGTCTCAGTTTAGATAATACATTGCATGGTCACCGTACCGGAAGAGTCAGTTCTGCCTGTCTTGGGACTGAGTCTTCCACATAGGAAATGGAAACCAACCTGATTCCACCTTCGTATTACTCCAGAGGATTTTTAATAAGAAAGGTGTTGTGCAAGATGTTGATATAATTCTAGGTCACTTCTCAACCTTGGCTGTGCACAGGAATCAACCTCTGGAACATTTTAGAAATGCAGATGCTCAGGCCCCATCCAGACATATTAAATCAGAATATTTGGGACTGCAAACAGCTTACTGCACTGGACTGTGAACTTTTTGAGAACAGAGATCCTGTTCTGTTTATCTACAACATCCCCATGGCCTAGCACAGCACTGGTACTTTTTTATTAAGTGCTTAACAAATATTTCTGAAATAAATGAATGGGCACTTTTGACTAATAACTGAAAAGGAAGCCATGTTTTTAATAGAAAGGTTTGATGACAATGTCTCTTACCTAAGGAGAACAGGAGAAAAGTGGGAAAAATGTAGAATTGTTCTTATCTGTATGCACATTTCTTTAGTAAATGCTGCATTTACCAAGTACAACAGAATGCAAGAATGAGCTATAGAAATGAAATAATTAAGTCAATGACAAGATATAGTTTATATCATATTTTCCCTAAAACATCAGCGTCTGAATAATTCCTTTAAAATATTTATGAAAGAGGAAGAAAGGGAAACTGCAACTTCATCAAACAGCTCTTTAATCAGAGCAACTTTTGAATTTCAAGAAGGAACCTATTCACTTTGTTATTAACATGTGGGAAGATAAACTGCCCACAGAAGATACCACGAACTTCTCCTCCTTTACCCAGAGGGGCAGCGTGCACTTTCACCTCAGCCAGGCTTGTCCTGGCCACAGGCTCAGCCCTGTCTGCGATGATCCCGTTTAACAACTCTGGCTCTTCCTGCCAGAAAGGGGCCCGGGCTGGTCTCTTAGCCCATAGAGCTAGCGGAAGGCTTGTCCCAGTAGGGGTGCCTGCAAGTCTTTTGCAGCATTCACTTGATGCCAATCCTTTTTCTTGGTTGTGCTTTGTACTGTAACATATATTCTCAAACTTTAAACTCCATGGATAAAAATATTCCATTTTTCTTTTGTGTTATGTTCCCTGAAGTACCTATGCTCAAGGGAAATGCTAATCCCCATCAGGGTATAATCTCATCCTGCCTGTATTTTTCACTCTCTAGAAAGTGCCACAGAATCGACAAGACCATAAGAAAGCTTTTCCGTGGCACCCATAGGAGCAGACATTCCCCAATGAACAAGAGGAAAGGTTCTGTCTGATTTTAGATACCTGGTTTACATATCCAAAAGCCTCTCTCCTTGCTCTCATCCCCAAACTTCATAAAATCTGGAAATATGAATTTGGCAGAAATTCTTCAGAATTTAAAATGATTTTGAAACTTTAGATTTTCTTTTAGTTGCTGAGTATTTCTTATATAAGCACTCATGTTTTCTTATACTTCCATTGTTGCATAATTTTGCATTAATGTGTCAGATTTTTCATAAGAACCCAGTATAGCTGCATTTCAATACATCCACGTCTCAGTCTCTTAAAATGTCTGCTGGGGCCTAACTTTGAGATGTCTGAAAACTTTACTAGTCATTAACTCGACTAGTAAATGTTACCTGGTAGGAATCGAATGTGTTCCTTGGTCATAGAAGTGGCCTGTTATTTCTGTGGAGACTGATCAGAGGCTCTTTTCCACAGATGAGTTGTGCCAGTCCTTATGTGGAAGCAAAACACAGCCGGCTCTCCTCCACAGAGACCTCTCAGTCGCAGTCCTCCCATGAGGAATTTCGCCAGGAAGTGACTGGGAGCAGTGTGGTGTCCCCCATTCGCAAGACAGCCAGTCAGCGCCGCTCCTGGCAGGATTTGATTGAGACGCCCCTGACAAGCTCAGGATTACACTATCTTCAGACTCTGCCCCTGGAGGATTCTGTCTTCTCTGACTCCGTGGCTATCTCCCCAGAGCATAGGCGGCAGTCCACCCTTCCAACTCAGAAGTGCCACCTACAGGATCATTATGGGCCGTACCCCTTAGCCGAGAGCGAGAGGATGCAAGTGTTAAATGGAAATGGAGGCAAGCCTCGAAGTTTTACTCTGCCTCGAGATAGCGGGTTCAACCATTGCTGTCTGAATGCGCCGGTTAGTGCCTGTGACCCGCAGGATGACGTGCAGCCCACAGAGGTGGAGGAAGAGGAGGAGGAGGAGGAGGAGGAGGAGGAAGGGGAGGCAACAGGGGAAAACATAGGAGACAAAAGTAAGTATGTTGATGGAGATTCTTAGCCTGTGTACACAGAGTCCTGACCTTTTCAAACTTATTTTAAGAAAATAGAATTTTGTTTCCCTTTTTTCTTAAAATAATGGTGTTGCTGCATAGGAAGTTAGGTATCCCTTGGTGTCCTACTTTCAGAACTTGAGTAACTTGGGGGAAAAAAAGTTGAGTAATGAAGCCTCTATCCCAGGACACTCCCAGCTAGAGTAAATAATTTGTTTTTCTCCAATTACCCATTTGCCTTTCAAGGTTAATGATATTCGTTTCTTTTTCTTCCTCCTCTTATCCACTTTCTTCTCACTTGCATGCATCATCCCTTTGGTCCACAGTCATTGCCCTCTGAGTTTGCGTTAAGAAACTATAAATGCTTCAAGCAGGGTGTTAGCAGATCCTTAATTGAATAAGTGAATACACAGACATACACAACTTCCCTTTTCACTGTTAGAAGATTTAAAGGAAAAATCCAAGAGTTTTTCCAAGAAGAAATTTCACATAGCATTTCTATCAACTCCAAATAGCCATATTTGTTTCTAGAAACCAGTTTGCCAAAAGCATCTATTTACTTTCTTGGTATGTATGTTGATTGCAAAACTCAGTTTATGTGAATTAACTCTTAAGAGAGACAAGTCAGTTAAGTAGCCCTCTGTCTTGTTGTCATTAAGAATATGTTTACTGGTTATCAAGTTCTTTATCCAACATGCCATACCAAGCATCTGTTTATAACTAATGTGATACACCAGTCCAGAAACCCAAGCTAGTTTAAGGGAAGGCTGTAACTCAGTTATTTTACTTAGAAGGAAAATCTAGGTTGGCTATAAATCCTGAATGTAAAATACCCAAAAAAAAAATAGTATAGAAGAAATAGTGTAAAACTGTTTGTGTCTCTTTATTCATGTTGAAGTCAGGGCCAGTTAGTGCAGACGACCGGAGCTAGTGTTGATGAAACCACACTTACTGGTTTGGTTCCACTAGGGCATTAAACTTCTCTTTTTAAAGGACACAAACAGACTGTATCCTTCAGCCCGTTTTGTATAGGAGACTTTGATTACAGGACTTGTTAGTGTAAGTTCTTCATCCCCACTGGAGAAACAACTCAAAGCTCATGGGTTACCAGCAGGTCTGGAGCCTCGTGTCAATGTCAAACTTGGCTCATTTAAAATGGGGGTCACTTTGGAGATTATTAACAAGAAAATACAGTAGACCTCCTTTTATGGTATGGATCTTCATTGCATTATTTAATAGGAGTTAAATTATATCTTCTGGGCCAGCCCTGGTTCCCTAGTGGTTAAATTCAGCATGCTCTGCTTCGGTGGCCCAGGTTCAGTTCCCGGGCACAGACCTACACCTCTTGTCTGTTAGTGGCCATGCTATGGTGGTGGCTCACATAGAAAAAAGAGGAAGATTGGCAGTGGATGTTAGCTCAGGTGACTCTTCCTCAGCAAAAACGAGAAACAAAGCAAAAAGAAATAAAGAGAGAAAATAGAAAAAAAAATTCTATCTCCTACCATCAAAATGAGTTGCTTATAATAAAATTCATATGTTAAAGAAGTTTTAATGTGAAGTATATTTTAGCCATAATCTCCATGAGGAGCATTATAAAAGGTATACTCTTGGTGCGGGAAAGGTAATTACCATCTTACCTGCTAAGCCCTCCCACCACTCACAGTTATTAGAGATTGTGGAAGAGTTTTATGGAAGAAATATCTAGGAGCCATGTCAGGCCTCTGTAGTTCTGGCAAGCCTGATAATACATTTTTAATATGATGATGACTACTAAAATTAATAAATTATTTGCTAAGATTTAACTAAAGATGAGTTAGAAACTTCATTTTGACTGTCATCCAGGTGCTCCACAATTGCTATAACTAAGTACGTGAGGTTTGTTCAGTATTCTGCAAACATAGTGGGGAAAATACTCCATTGCTGCCATTTTAAAATAAATTGTGTTGAAATTAGGCACAGCCCTCTGAAGTAGAGGCTTCTATTCAGAAAATATTCCATCATTGCCACAGGTAGAAGTGATCGGTGCTGGGGTTTTTTCCAGTTAAGCCAGATACTTAGCAGTTCCTCCTGGTCCTTGTGTAAGGGAGGACTAGAAAGGAGACAGCATATCCTGGCACCTGGGAGGAAAACCTGGGCACTGCTCACCCTTCCTGCAGGTTCCAGTAGCACCAGAGCATCTCTAGTTAGACAGCTTATGATTCTTTTTTCTTCTAGCATCTCTTTTTTGCTGTTTTGTGGACTGGATTTATTTTTAGCCATACAGATGCACTCCTAAGTCGGTGGGTCTTTTCTTCAGGTTCCCAAATGAGTCAGGTGGGCAGCTATTCGGTACCTTCTATCTTTTTCAGTGGGTTCTCTCTTTGTGGAATAATTGTAATAAGGCAGAACAGCCCTGGAAAGTATATCAGTAAATTTGGTATTGCCCATTTTGTCTTTACAGTTCAATGTTGTGGGGCAGTTCATGCTATTTCAGTCGGATCTGCTTCACTGAAGGTGGCCATGCTCTATCAGGACCCCATTTCTTTCTGGATATCTTCCCGTAAATCTTGCCGCTTGATGTCTCAGTGTCCTCAAACTGTTCTCAACAGAGCAGTGCATTTCATTCTTGCCTAGAAGATGCTTCTTATTTAATGGAATGTGTGTTTACCTTCCTAATAAGGGTTTTTCTGCATTATTATTTCTAATATTTAGGAGTGTGCAATTTGATGGATGAACACTTCATTTGGGAATCATCAGCTCTAAAATCAGTGTTTTTAAAAGAATCTTTAAGGTCTACTTAAGGGGTATCATGTTCATGACTCCCCTGGGTTGGCCATTAAGAATAAGTATTCCAGGCTGCTTATTCAAATCAAGCTGCTTGGTGTTATGTCAGCAGAGCAAAAATTATACGTGGGAGAGAAGCTGTGGCCATCCTATCAGCCTCAGACTTATAGCACACCCACCAGTACAGAGCGCTCACGATGCTGCCACAGGGGTCAGCAGGCATCCGTGCTCGTTAGAATCAAAATCCAACAGCCGTGTGTTACTAACTGTCCTGTTCAAGGTCAGCACTTGGCTTGACCTACTAAAGTGAATTGGTACTGATCAAGTACAGACCAGCAGAGGAAATAAGTTTCATGTCTCTAGCTCTAAACATTTTTCTCAATTTGCCAAGAAATTAAAAATAGGAAGTGTCAGGCGAGTGGGCAGAAGGAGTAATAGAAGAGGATATAAAGATACAGCCTATCTTCTGCTTCAAGGTGAAGAATTATGTCATCAACCAAACCTCTTTCTTATCATTTATATTTACCTTAACTTTATACAATTTATATATTATATAGTGCTTATGAGTTTACGAAGCAATCTAAGAAGCAAAATGTACCTAAATCCTTGACCTAGATGTTTTTTCATTTTCCTTATAGGAGAGGAATTTGGCCCTGCTTATGAGGTATAAATGTGGCCTTCTTGAGAACAGACTTCGATCTGTGTTCTCATGGTTGAACTACCTTTTGTCTTATTTTGAGGTTCAGTTATTTAACTGAGTCATACTGTGATTTTTCTCAGGCTGAACTCATTTTATTCTAAAATGGATGGTACTAAAAGTACACAGATGAGACCCGTCTTGTTTTCCTTTGACTGAAAAGTCAGCTTGCATGCTAATTATCCTGACCTACTTCACTGGCATTTAGGAAAAGACAAGTAATTTCCTATTATCCCAATTAGCAGTTTTGAAGCTTACTGAGGTGTGGGCCTTCTAATACCTCAGTTAAATTAATTTATAAATTATGTCAGCCTATGCAACTTTCAAGGAGGTATAAATCATTAAAGTGTAGGACAAAATATAAAGATACACTTCATTCAGAAATCATCTGCCATAAGACTAAAATACTGTTTTGATTAATTCAGCTTGAACTCTGCTTGAAATAGCTCTCTTTCCTTTGCCATACTAGGCAATTTAGATGAGGTTTTTGAAAGCATCTTTCCTTAATCCTGCTGATTTCCCTCCTGGCAGTTATGTGAGTACTCGTTACTAACCAGACATTCTTGGTGCCTCCCTGTACTCAGTGAAGTTATAATGTCTCTATTTCATTGTCTTGGAGATAGCCTACCAGTAATCTCACTTAATTTACACATTTATCAGCTTGGTCTTAGAAATCTAAAGCAAAACCTAGGGATTTTTTTGGTGGGGAGAGGTGGATAAAATCTGTTAGCTTGTAGCAGTACACATCAGGTTATCTGGCTGAGATATTTATTGATGCTTTCAAAATGAGATCTGCTGAGAAATATATTTTAAAGTTATTTTTTAGACTCTAACATCCTTTGCACACCATTGGTAACTTAGGAGCTGCACAAAATATGCAGCTCAGTGGCCTAATATCTTAAATTATCTAGGCAGAGAGGCTAGGTAATGACTACCATTATAGTGCAGAAGAAGATAGATTAATCCTCTTCAATCATTTTAAGGATCCTAGAGTAATTTCCTGAAGAGTTTCTAAAAGCCATGAATTTTATTTTTAAGAATATTCAGGTAGGAAGTGTGTGGGCAAGGAGAAGTTATTCCCAGAATATGAAATTGTGTTCAAGGAAAAAAAGGGAAAAGATGAAAATTTTTTAAAAAATCTTGCAGCACTTTTTACTCTTTTATTTATTGTCAAATAAATTATGCACAAACACAAAGAATTTGGGGGAGCATAATCATCAGTAATATCTTAAATTATAGTTCAAGTCTAAAGGGAATAGATGGAAAAGATATATAAGCAGTATAAATAAAAAGACATGCGTTAAAGTCAAAGAAGTAATAACAGAACCTTAAATATGTCACTTTTGTGACATTTAAGGACACCATTCTTGGCTGGTTATGTAACAAGTCATATATAAAGAAAGACCACAGAAAACTCTAGAAAGTAGTAAACAAATATTCTCAATATCATATTGTCTAATTTTGAAGAAAGACAGGAAAACATAAAATACTGAAGATTAGATATAGAGTTTAGCTGTAATTC